CGCACCACACGCGCGTGAAATGCACATCCGTCAAGTTAGACGGTTTAGGGGATAACGCGCAATCAAAAGTATAATACAAGGGGGTATGGCGCATTTTTTAAAATACAGGGGGATAAGGCGCAGATTTCGTATAATACAGGGGGGTTTGGCGCAATTTACCCAAAAAAATGCTGATTATAATATTTATAATGCTAAAATTATCTCTAAGAAGTGATCTGACCACAATATGGTAACTTATTTACGAGGCAAGGCTTGTTTACCGCAATGGTACCATATCATCCACACCCCTAATTTAATGTCCGGCAACTTACACCTCTCCACTTATGGTCTCCTATTCAAACCCAAGCACTGGGAATCGCTTTTGATCCTCCCTCAAAGGGAAGGGGTCGGGGTCGAGATGACCCAGTTGGGTTACAAACGTAGGTGTGAGGTCACTAGTAGTTGTAATGGATTGTGGTTAGGGACTAATATGAAATGTAAACTTTTCGTCACAAATCCCACGACAGGCAAAATTGTTGGTCTCCCTCCGTGTGTCGGTAAAGTTTCGGAAGGAAAATATGCAATGGCTTACTCACCGGCTTTCCTGGAGTACAAAGCGGTTATATACTATCCTCCTGCGCGAACCCGTCCCGCTACTTTTCATATATATATCCGTCCCGCTACTTTTCATATATATATATTAACCGCTGGAGTTGATAAAAAATGGAGGAATGTTGAGTTGGGACTCATATCATCGGAGGAGGCACTTGAGGCATTCCACAATATTCCGTTGGTTGAATGATGAGCTTGTAGTTTAAGTCGAAACGCTCGCTTCACATGAAAATGTATTTACTATAAAAATAAATATCGATATGTGTATCATTAAGTTTTTTTTATGAACTTATAATCAATATCACCCTCAATTTTTTTTTTAAAAGTATGAGATTTCAAATATTCATAATTTAACTTCAATATCTACAAGTTATGGAAAAGAAAGTTTTTTTTTTTCAAAAATTGATTTAAGTTGAACTTTTGCATCACATTGCATAACATTATTATTGATGAGAGTTTACAAAATGCACATTTTTTATGAAAAAACAAAAAGATAAAGTTAAATATGTGATTACACAGAAAAGGTAAAAAATCAACATTAGAAAAAAGTAACAATCCAACTAAATACTCAGTTTTATATCACTAAGTTGATTTACAATAAAGAGACCGAAAAACTAAATCATTATAAATATATTTTTAAATGAATATACCATAGACTATATGTTTTAATTACTAATATATTGTAAATATTTTGTGCATTTCTATACATATTTTATAGTATTTTCTTTATACATAGACACACACACACACACGCACACACACACACACACATCCCCCCTATATATTAATTCAAACGCGCTGAGCCTACGTGGCTGGTTCTGGTGCTTCGGAATCCTATGTGGCAAAATTACATTCTTCATTATTAGGCTTGGGTAAATTTTAATTTAATTCCAAACCAAAAATAATTAGGTTTGGATTACCATAAATATGTCGATAATTTATGGTCATGCTACATGTATTATAACTATTTTAATTGCATTTTAATATCATTCCTTAGTAAGGGTAAAATGGGAAGGATGAAATCCAGATTATTTTGTCCTCCCAAAATGGGCGGACTAATTAAGCCGCGCACGTCAGATTACTCCAGCGGGACCCACGCGCCAAACAATTGCCACATCTGCATAAACCTAATCCCCACCTAGCCTAGTAAACAAATGATAAGGTTGGTTAACCAACCTTATCATATCCTATCACTGCTAGTAAACGAGCCCTTAGTAGATAGTTGGGGAAGAAAAATAGGGGCAAAAAGGTGCATAAAAGAAAAGGAAATATTACATTTGAAATGTAAAAAAAAATAAAAATTATATAGGGAATGACAACAAATTCTATTTTTGTCATGGGCAATAACACAATTTTGTTTCGTTCCCTTAGTATCTACCTCACATAATGTTGGGGTATCACGATAAATTAATTGAATTATGATATCCCCACAATAAATAATAACAAATAATATTATTCAATAAAATAAATAAAAATAAATGACGAGAAAGAAAAAACATACTAAATTGATAATAATGTTCGAGAAATACTGTTTACGCCTCCAAGCATCGGCAACACACCAAACTAGTTTTACTGACGTCGATCTCATCAACTTTATAATCGAAATTTCGTCATTAAAGTTCTTAAATTGTCACTAAAAGTTTAGATTTAAATAACGAAATGATATTTTGTCATTTAAATATTACTTATGGTGACGAACTTGTCACTTTTACAATCGGATTTTTTCACTTGAATGTTTAAATTATCCCAGAAAAACATATTTTAAATGAAGAATTCGAATGTTTGTTATTTAAACACTAACATATAGTGACGAATTTCAACGGAAAAAAAAATAAATTTTTTTATGTCAAAGAAATTTTGTCTCATTTCCTAAATATTTAGCACTATACAGTATACACCATCAACCCACCTTGGAAGGCACCCCACAAGCTTTCACACAAACTATAGTAAGAATTTATTAATACCACCTCGGAGTTATTATAACTCATCCTTTGATTTGGATGAGCATTTTCTTGATGGTATAACAAATCTGTTTGTATAAATTGGTATTACAGAGGGCATTCATGTGATACTTCTTTTGTTTTTTACAGAGTCCAGTATTAATTCTATCTTCTTTTGCCAACTTGCTCAACATAAGGTCATCCGAATGGACAATCATTTGTTGGTGTTCTTGTTTGTACACCTTCAAAATTTGAAGATATCTCGTATAATGAACACACTTTGGACAATTTTCATTATCCATTATAAAAAAATTCTCCGTCTAAAATTGATTACCATATAATAAAACCTAGGCTCTAATGGTGGGTGCTTAAAGTTTAGGTGCTTAGGTACAATTACAAGGAGCTTATAACTGGACCGATTATGATAAGCTCGACAACATTGATCAGATCAATACCATGGGAAGCTCAGGTTATAGCCAGGCGAGCAGGCAGGAAGTGCACTCTCATTAGAGGACAACTCGGCTAGGAGGAGCCCGGCATGGATGAGTATTGAAGAGTAAATAGTAAGGTCGAAGGAGGAATGTTGTTCTGCGATGGCCTGGGCGACTACCTGGGTGTGTCCGTGCTCATTAAGATGGACTTGGAGTTGGGATAACCTTAGGTTCAAGACGTATAGAAAAAGGAAACTGAGTTCCTTAGTTAGAGGAAGTCTATAGAATGTAGGACCCAAGATTCGGGGACGATATGGTCTAGTATGAAGTAGAGTGGGGAAAGACTTATGGTCGTGTCAGGAGTCTTTCCGCCAACACGCAACCTTCACTATAAAAGGGGGTCTAGGTTCTTGTTTTTACACAACATACATACACGCGCAAAATACCTTATTACTACGTTATAGAAATTCTATGGAGCGCTTTTGGAGTCATCCATAACTTTATGTATTGACATGTGTCCAGTGTGTATTTATTGCACGACACATGTCAATACACCATTTGTGGATAACTATGGATGGTTCCATAAGCCGAGCCATCTGAGGGCTCCATAGCAAAATCGTACTATGTTATTTTCGAACGAGAACTACTTGAGCGTCTGAGTATTTTCCATCGAGAACCCTCCCAGTGTTTTGCAGGTCAACGAAGATGTCAAGACGTTTAAATTGGATGATTGCGGTTCAGACCAGATCGGAAGATAATTCGCGCAACAATATATAATCATGTTTTCAATGGTTAATTAAAGTGAACTAACTCATTATAATTCACACTAAATGATATATGGAAGTTCAATAAGTATAGATAATTCACACTAGGTGTAATCATTTTTTTCAAAAATTTTCATTCACTTTAATTAATATTATACTCTTATATTATTATCAACTAGTACAATACCCGTGTGATGCACGAGATTTTATTATCTCCGTCCCTTTTAAAAAGCAATTTTAAGTTAAAATTCAAAGTACTTACTAAAGGAATGATCATGTCATTAATAATTAATAAATTAATAAATATAATGAAATTAAAATCTATATATTATTGAACATTGCCTTATATATAACGGTCATGATTTGAATCTTTGGCACGTCATCGTCGCCACAAATTAGGATTTTCAAACAATTTCTGTTTGTGCAGCGGGAGACAACAACATACAACTGGTACAAAACCGTGCAGTTCTTTATGTTTCTCCTACACAATGTACAAGAGTTTTTAAAGGGAAAATTATTAGTTGCGAAAATAAATTTTAAACATTGATATTTTTAATTCTTTTTAAAGATATTACATGCGTAAACATTAAAATCCATATATAAAATAAAAAATCATATAAAAACATTAGAATATAAAATATGAATATATAATGCTAAAGATTCTTACTCCAAATCCATAATAGAGAATACAATCATTTGGGTAGGAACTCCCTCGACAACCTTTAATTGAATAGGTTGTATTGAAACAACCAATCCAATAACATCTACAAAAATATGAGACAATGCATCATATTGAAATGTATAATGTATAATATAGTTTACTAAAGATTTTAACTTTAAAATAATCGAAATAAGAAATAAACAAAAAAATACAACGTACCAAACAACATGGCTTCATCAACATTATGAACATCCATTAAAGTTAAAAAGTTCCTAAAGTCAAAACGATACATAGGAATTCACCCCCTCCACTTGAGAATGTTGGTTTGGTCATTGATAATGATCCTTCAATTACCTATCGTCGATTTGTAGATGCCAATATTGTTTGATATCCATGATTACTCCAAAATCCAATGTCATTTTGAATGTATATGAAAAAACTTGTAAAAAGATATGTTTTGTGGGATGTATTGGTTGTAGAATATTTTTGGTTCAATGTTGGTGATGGTTATATAGACATTTGTGTATGTGACATATGCCCCGCACTGGAATTTAAAAATTTATTTGCGTCAGCTTTTTGAGTTGAGTAGGATTTATTTTCCTAAATAATGTGATTACGATCAACTTCAAAAAAATATGTTTATCCGTTTTTATTTTAAAAAAAACGAAAACAAAAAATGTAGAACGTGTTACATGTGTCGCAGATCTTGTCGATTATTGAAGATTATATGTCAAGTCAATGTGACATAATGTTTACCAAAATTAATGGAGTTTGTTACAATTTAATTTAGTAAGGCTTTTTGGATTGAATGAAAAATAATATTTTTATTTTGATATGTATCATTTATCAAATCTCAAGATTTTTTCTGCAATATTTAACTCCAAATAATCCAAAAAAATTATGAAATTTGTTACCAAAAGAAGTCCCAAAGATTATCGACAATATATTGTGTGTAAATAACTATGAAGTGTGTTACCACAAAAACCAATATTTTAAAGGATTTGTTATCAAAATCTGAGATTTATTAACACAATTCGAGATTATTTGTCACAATCAGATCAAATTTGTTAACAAAATTCGAGATTTGTTATCAAAATAAGATCAAATTTGTTACCAAAATCTGATATTGGTTATCAAAATCCCATTAAATTGGTTGACATGTGGGGCCCATTTATAATTATAGAGTAATAAATACGTATTTATATAAAATTTTACTTAAAAAATGACTTAAATATAAAACATACTATATGATATTGACAATTAAAATTTGAGTACAATTTCTTTCCTAAGATAATTTTTTTTTCCCAATTAAGTGATTGGAAAAACAAAAAATAATAAAAATAAAAACATGGCATGGCACCCGTTGGGATGGCGTGTGTCACACAACATACTTAAACCCTTAAACCTCTCAACCCTTAATCCTATTGTTCCTTCGTCGAGGAAACCTCTACCCATGCTTGATATCCCACCATCAATGGTGCGGCAGCCGCCGCCTCCTCGACGGCCAGGTAAAGAAGAACGGAATACAGAGCTTCAACCCTTCAAATTCTTGGCTCCACCCGTACACCAGGTTAGGTTAAGTTAGGGTTACATATATGTAGAATCTCTATTCATTCTATTAATTTGCAGTATTTCGATATTGAATTTCTAGGTTAAAAGTTTTCCCCTTTTTGTTTTTGATGAATCATTGGATGTATAATATGCAGCAGATTTACTACCGGAGGAGGTGTAAAAGAAAGAGTCTAACAACAGGCATAGAATCTCTACCTGATGAGCTGTTGATTGAAGTCCTTGCTCGAATCCCAAGCCCCCAGCAAGAGATTTACGAGGCAAGGCTTGTTTGCCGCAAATGGTACAATACCATCCACACCCCTAATTTCATGTCCGCTAACTTACACCACTCCACTTATGGTCTCCTATTCAAACACAGAGAATGTGAATCGCTTTTGATCCTCCCTCAAAGGGAAGGGGTCAGGGTCGAGATGACCCAATTGAGTTACAAACGTAGGTGTGAGGTCACTAGTAGTTGTAATGGATTGTGGTTAGAGACTAATATGAAAGAAAAGGGATGTAATCTTTTTGTCACAAATCCCACGACGGGCCAAGTTGTTGGTCTCCCTCCGTGTGACGGTAAAGTTTCGGAAGGAAAATATGCAATGGCTTACTCACCGGCTTCCATGGAGTACAAAGCGGTTATATACTATCCTCCTACACGAACCCGTCCCCGTCCCCCTGTTTTTCATATATTAACCGCTGGAGTTGATAAAAAGTGGAGGAATGTTGATTTGGGACTCATATCATCGGAGGAGGCACTTGAGGCATTCTACGATATGCCATTGGTTACTGAAGGTTTCATTCATTGGAACCGTCTCTATTTCCTCCATGTCTTGACTCTTAATGTGGAGACGGAAACTATTACACAGACTCCCGCCCCTCTCCCGACTCTTGGGAGTCAATTCAATATTTACTTATCAACTGGAAAATATCTGACGTTATTGAGTCATTATGGGCAGTTCTCGTGGCAGGTTTGGGAGCTGAGTCGACCGGAAACAGGGGAATGGAGAAAGAAGGCCCATTTTTGCTTGGAGGTTCACAAGAAAAGATTAAACCTATCAGGTGACTTAGACGAAGATTTTGTTCTCCCGGTAGGGTGGGTCAAGTACTCGGAGTTGTTGGCCATGAGAATTGGGGGTAAATCGAACGCGGTTTTTGTGTACAATCTTGTTACGCAAGAAATTGATGAAATCGGGCTACCTGACCATATTGGTTGTTACAATATTGCGGTACATAAGAGTAGTTTGGAGTGGTTGGATGCAGTCAAGCCTACTCGACGACTGGTATCTAAATGATTATGCTCTTGTGTTGCACCTTTTTAATGTGGTCCAAAATATCTATTACTGATGAAGAATTTATGCTATGAAAACTTTCGTTGCTTTTACCAAAAAGTGGGGACTCTTCTTTTGTTTGTTTTGGATTCAGATTTGAAGCTTCAATTTTTATATTTTTTTTTTTTGGTACTTTGGAACATTTTTTCTGCTGTAATGCACATGATATTTGATAGAGGAAAAGTTTGGATCAATGAATAATTAAAGTCTAGTTGCATTGATGTTTGGTTGGGGGCTCCTAACTAATATTCCATGTATGAAAACTTATATTCCTGATATTTCTGGTGTTTGTTTGAGGTTATGTGCATGGGTGCCTATTTTGATTGTGGGCTTGCTGTTGTATTGTATCTATGATGAATTGCTGCTAACGAGTTTCAACGGGATGGATAACTCGATCATGTTCCTATGTCTATGAATTGCCGGCAACCGTTAGTCGTGAGAGCTCATTTAATACGGTGGCTCCTTGTCAATCCCATATCACAAGTGTTGGAGATCCTTTATAGTTCCTAATTTGCATACTAAATCTAGGAACTTGAGGACTTTTGAGAATCAGTTCCATTCCACTATTTCATCATCCCACCTGATGATTGTGACTTTCAATGGATTCTAATGCATGCATTAGCCTCTTTCTCTTTCATTGGGATTTGGATATGTTGTGGGTTTTTCCATAAATTACCTCTTCATAAATCAACCAAACACCGGTCTTCGGCTGCACGGTGGCGGGGAAGCTGCAAATTGGGACACGGTTTTTCATTCATTTGCATTTGAGACACCTATCAAGACTACTGTGATCAGTAAATAACATACTCGTTAATTCCTTGTTAACATGGCTTACTCATAAATTAAAAAAAAAAAAAATTACAACTTATCCATTCAATACAACACCTCGCTTTGCATCCTTAAATTCCATATATGCCACCACAAACTACAGACCACGTGTACACCATATGCGAAATAGATCTTCCACTATTTCTGATAACTAGTGTGTATGTGTATCCCGTGCGATGCACGAGTAAACAATATTAAAAAGTAATTATAAATTAAAGAGGATGATAAACAATATTACCTAATAATTATAAGGGTAAATTGCAATTTTGATACCCAAACTAAAGTTCATTTCGGAATCAGTACCCATTTTTTAACATTTGTAAAATCAGTACCCAAACTTTCATTCTGTTAGCAACGTTTGTACCCGGCCGTTAGATCTCCGTTAAATTTCCGTTAGTTGTTAACGGAAGTAGGCAAAATGGAGGAAATTTTTATGTTTTTTTGGCTCATGATGAAATCTATATACATAAGACATTTGTACCATTTTTTTTTTCAAAAAAAGGCAGCCTCCACTATTTATAAGAAACAAAATTGGATAAAATCGATTTTTTTTTGGAAAAAATATAATAAATCGAGAAAAATGAAAAGACATGGTTTCTCTTCTAGTTCATGCAGTATATATTGGAATAATAATTTTCCAATAACAAAAATACAAATTTCCTTCTATTTTGTCTACTTCCGTTAACAACTAACGGAAATTTAACGGAGATCTAACGGTCAGGTACTAACGTTGCTAACAGAATGACAGTTAGGGTACTGATTTTGCAAATGTTAAAAAACGGGTATTAATTTCGAAATGAACTTTAGTTTGAGTATGAAAAATGCAATTTACCCTAATTATAAATTAGAAATGTGGAGTTAATGTATGATATAATTTGTCGTATACATGAAATTATCTTGTATAAACAATTTTTGAAAATGAAAGTTTAAAATATTAAAAACGCCTAAAATATTATACAACGTGGAAAAAGTATCTAAAATTTTATATATCATTATTGAGATATTAAAGTCACTTGAAGTTTTTCTAAACAATTTTGTAAAGAAAATATGTCTAAAACTATTTAAAAAGATGTAAAATCACCTAAAATTTTCTACATTAATTTTTCATTAATCTTTTATTTATACTTTCTCAATTTTAACTAGAGATCTTCCTTAATTTTTAGTTTAAGGTTGTTGTATTGGTAATTTAATGGAGCTATCTATGTATCTAATTTGGTGGATAGTTGGGGAAGAAAAAGAGGGGCAAAAAGGGAAGGTATATAAAAGAAATATTACATTTGGAATGTAAAAAAAAAAAAAAGTATAAAAAAAGATTAAAGAAAGGGTTACATATATAAAAACCTCTACTTTTGTTTTCCATTAGTTTCATGGGCAATAACACAATTTTGTTTCGCTCCCTTAATATCTACCTCACGTATTGTTGGGGTATCACGATAAATTAATTGGATAATGAGGATATTCCCACAATGAATAATAACAAATAATACAATAAATAAAATAAATAACGAGAAAGGAAATACACACCAAATTTATAATAATGTTCAAAAAATATTTGTCTATATCTCCAAGAATCGGCAACACACCAAACTAGTTTTACTGACATCGATCTTGTCACTTTTATAATTGAAATTTCGTCACTGAAGTTCATAAATTGTCACTAAAAGTTTGGATTTAAATACAGAACTGATATTTTGTCATCTAAATATTACCTACGGTGTGTCATTTAAACACCAACATATAGTGACAAATTTCAACGAAAAATATTAAATTATGATTTTTTATGACAAAGATAATTTTGTTCCATTTTCTTAATATTTAGCACTATCCACCACCGACCCACCTTGAAAGGCATAACCTACAATCTTCTACAAATTATGGTAACATTTATGAAATAACACATATAGTGCGGCTTGAACCCATGATTTCTTAGGTCTCCCCGTTCCCGTCTCTTCCCTTTCTTCTCTTCCCCGTTCGATTTCCCGTCTCTTCAATGTCTGAAATTGTCAGCCGCCTTCCCCGGTAGGGCGTGTCGAGAGCTCGACGGTGGCTCTTCTGGGCCCTGTTGCTCGTAATGAAGAGAGGTGCCGCTGGAAGGAGTTTTTTCGCCGGGGAGTAGTTGGTGCCGTCCTCCGGTCTCTAGCCTCTGGTACCGGGTTGAGTGGCGGATGTCTGGCTCTCCTCCGGCATCTCCGCGGTGGCGGCTTCTGGTACTCTCTCGGAGTGAGCGGCGTCCCCAATTTCCCGATTTAGGGTTTGGGGTGGGGTTCGGTTTCCGGCCAATTGGCCTCTCCTGGTCTTGGCACAGTGCTTGGTGGTCAGCGATTGAAGGGTGGGTGTTGATTCTTGGCCCGTGGTCACCGTCGAGTGGTTGTGGTGCTTTGGAGTCGCGGACGCCGGAGATCATTTGGCGAGGCTTGGGTGCTAGCTGGGCTGGTCTGGTTTTGGTTGGATCGGGCTTCTTCGGGCTATTTATGGGCTGTTTGAGTTGCTTTGGGTTGGGCCTAGCTGGGCTTGGTCGGGTGGGCTGTTGGACTGGTATCTTTCCTCCGGGCGCTGGTGGAGTTGTCCGTCTGGATGAAGGTTCGGTCCGTCGACTCTTGATTCAGTTAGGCGTTCTCTTGCAGTTTCTGGGTCAGGATCCTGGACCGATACCTTGTCGCTGTTGTGCTCGATGTGGTTTCTGCTGTGGGAAGGGCTCCCGTTTTTATTTATTTTGTTGTTGCTTGAGTCTGTTTAGTTAAGTATTTTTGGTTTGGGCTCTTTGCCTGAGTCTGTTTGTGTCTTTTGGTCTTGTTTCTTAGGTTTGGGCCGTTGGCCCCGGTACTGATTCCCCTGTGGGGGGCGTTTCTATTCTCCTGTGGGGAGCGTTCGTAGTTGGCGTGTTGGTGTCTTTTAGTTGTGTGTAGTGTGTGTTCTCTATTCTAGCGTGGCTAGCGAGTCTCTAGGCGGTCTTTCGATCCGTCCTCTCAGTTTTTAGTTCATGGTTGCATTATTCAGCCTTGGGCTGCTTGTTTTACACAGTTGTGCGTTTTGATATATAATACCTCTATCGTTTCGGCAAAAAAAAAAAAAAAACCCATGATTTCTTAGGTCTCAAGGTGACTGTCACCACTAGTCTATGTCAATGCATGTGAAATAATTTTATAATTTTTATATTATTACCTATTACATTTGTTTAAATTTTATTTATTAAAACTACGTACGTTGTATATATATAAATTAATAAGCACAAAATAGAACGTTGTATATTAAATATACAATATTATTTTTCCTTTTTTTTTTTATAATTCTGCCTTCTCTAGGCCTTTGGGCCTGCGAGCTCAAGTTTTTTTTTTTTTTTT